TCCCCTAGTTAGCCTAAGTCTTCCTGTGGTAACAAAGAAGCTTCTAGGATGTCACTGAAAAAGTGCTAGGCGGCATCTGCAAGTGAATCCACACAGAACATAGATGACTGGGTTGGACTTCTCCACATTTTCTGTTAGTAGTATTAGTCTTGTATCTTCCCAAAGACACTCCTGAGAATTGCATTTATATGTATTATACACACTGCTTTCAGGAACTCTGGTTTGTGTGTGTGTTGTAACTGACCACATTATTGACTGTATTACCATATGATTTCACTTATATGTGGAACCTAAAAAATAAAACAAATGAACAAATAAAAGAGAGAAAGACAGACACAGAGAACAGACTGTGGTTGCCATAGGGGAAGGGCGATGGGAAGATGGGTGAAATAGGTGATGGGGAAAATATAGTAAGAATTTTGGTATCTTGATCTGGGTGATGGTTACATGAGTACCTACATGTAAAAATCAAGCTGTACATTATCACCTATGCATTTTATTGTAGCTCAATGCAAATAAAAAGTTACTGTATTACAAATTAAAATTAAAACATAAAAATTTAAAAATTATTTATTTAAAATAAATCCATTACATGTTAACATCACTTAGTTTTATGAAAACAACTATTTTTCAAAACTAAAAATAGTGAGAAGAGTGAATTTATGTTTTTGCAAATCTCTTAGTGTCTGTTTAATATAAGCCAGCTAAATTTCACATCTGCTTCTGCATTCAATTTGTGATACATTTTGGTGAAAGTATGTGAGGAAAACCTGGCCTCACACAGATACAGAGTTGGAAAATGAAAGAGATTTTGTAAATATTCTTCTCTGATACCACACCAAAACTTGTCAAGTAAAGCTTCTTAAAGGTGAAGTGTTCAAAATGCAATGTGGAATCCGAAAACCTATCGGTAAACTTAACTTCCTGTACTCTATTTTATTAAAGTCTATGTGGCTAGTCTGTACTCTGAATGACTCCTTTTCCATGGCAGGATTTTGATAAACATTTTCTCAAAAACTGAGTTAAGTGATCCTGAAAATTCAAGGAAAACAACTGACAATATTCAGTGCCACTGACAGAAAGATTTGTCAGATGGAGAGTTTTAGGTATCTACAGGCATTCCATAAATGCTAAAACTGGGAGTGGGAGGGAAATAAAACTATATTCCCTGGCAGCTTCAATACTGCAGGGGATAATTAAAATACAGTTCTGTTTATTACAGAGGCAGTCCTAAGAATTAAATGGACTTCTTACTAGTTGTATGACAGAAGTCATACCACTTAAATTTTCTGCTTGAATCAATGGAGAATGGGACGGCACTCTAAAAAATGTGAAAGCCTAGACAAACTTGATTTATAACCCCCAATCCCTTCAAAAAAGAAAAAAAGGTAGGGATAAATAGGAAGAAAAGAGTAAGAGACTACTACTCCCATAATTGTCCTCCTAAGTTAAAATAACTAAAAATTCTTCATTTTATCCTAGATTTGCCCCAGTTTCTATTAAGTACATTCATCCTTAACTCTTCGTCTTTCAAACCAAATACTAATTTCCTTTATCTGCTAAAGTGTCCAAAAAGAAATTTCGTTTTATTTAATTATTGGAAAAATCCAAAGCAACACACTGAGTTGCTATTTAAGAGGGGATGGGGTAGATACAAACAAATATGCAAATAAAAAATCAGTGTGTTGATAGTCCTAACTGAAAGTTTATTTATAGGCAAGAATTTGAAAGGACAGAAAAATTAAGACTAAACAAATTACTCAGTATGTATTAAAATATATTGCCACAACTTACAAAGAATGAAGGTACTCTGGGAAAAGAGAAAATAAGCAGGCTTGTCTTTCTCTTACACATGGTTGTATTTTATAGTTTACAAAGTACTTGAACACACATTGCCTCAAGAGCTATGCAGCAACCTATAAGGTAAGTAGAAATTATCTGCACTTTACAGAAAAAAAACTAGGCTTCAAGGAATTTAACTCACTTGCCCCAAATTAAAAGACCCATCAAAGGCCTTACTATGAGCACAGTCTGGTGGTTTCCAGTATCACTGCATTAGCAGTTATGTTTTAGAAGGTTATTTGGTGGGGGTGGAAGCAGCAGAATATTTTAGTTACAAAGTAGTAATTACTAATAACAATAAATTTGTTTTCTTACAAGTAAAAAACTAACCTGAATACCTACACATACATGTAAAGAGAAGACTTTTTTTAAAGGTCAGGGCCGTCATAATCAATAATGATTTTCTCATCAATGCCATATTAACAGAAAAGTTCAAATATATGTACAAAACTAGATGAACAAGTTTTAATTCAAGGCCTGAACAATAATATTGTAACAAAAAATAACTTTTTAAACAATTTGTTAAAGTTTGGTAAAACATTTTGGGTATTTTTAAACTATAATTTAAAATAATTTACTATGTGCTTAAAAATTTAATCCAACTCAAGCATTTTTGAACAGTGAAACATCTTAAGGTTCCATGAAAAGCAGCTTGAAAATCAGTGCATAATGGTTTGCTCTCATAAATTAACTATTTGAAATCTCTGCTTAAGTTCATTTAATACCAAATTATCCTAGATTACCAATTCTAGATTACCAAAAACCAAATTAAGTAAAAAACTGCTTTTTGAAATAAAAAATGTCTACAAGAAATCTAATTAACCAAGGCAGAATATAGCTAAGTAACTCAAGTCAAAACAATTCCATTCTACTGATTGAACCATATAAATTCTCTATTAACTGACAATTTTGACTATAAAAATGAAGTTCATATGATTCAACTAATATTTCCCACTTTATTTTCAGTGTCTTTACTTGTGAAACCATCAAAATGTCACAATGAGTGACTATATAAGCAAAGTGGAAAAGTGCAATAGGCAACAAAACTATATCACTAGAGCCCCCTAAACATACTAAGAATTTTTAAAATTAAAAGTTAATAATACAGGTTTTCTTCACTCCATTAGCTCCCAGGTGCTCAATACTCAAAGGACTGTAATGTGCCACCTCTTGTTTATCAAGAGGATAAGTGGGCAGTTACTTACCTTTCTTAATGCAGTTTGGCACTCCACTTTGAAATGCATCTAGTTTTCACTGGAATTTCTTCAAGTAAAATGTATTCCACTTCAAAAGTCATTAACTTTTCCAAAGTAAATAGAAGCATTTCCTCTTTTATTAAAAAATATTATTGAATTACTTCAGTGGTAACAGAGCAGTTGGGCTTACTAGGAGTTACAGATATGAGGACAGTTTTGTTTGTTCATTTGTTCCCCTATACGGTTTACCTCTCCATTTTTTTACTGACTTAAGATTAACAAATTAGGTATATTCACTAGTTCAAGAAGTCTCTTTATTTTGGAAGACACAGTCAAAATTGTCAGGGCACTTCTAGGAATAAATGTGATTCTCATACAATATACAATTCAATTTTCACATATTGGGTTAAACTAAATTATTTCATTTGAAGGAGAATCAGTTCCTTATGAAGTTCTCCTCAAAGTCAACAAATTAAGCCACTTAGAGAAAAAGGTTTTATGCCACATATAAAGGTGACTCTTCCCCTATCATTAATGAAGATTATAACAGCAAAGAGTAATGCACAGTGGGTGTGCATGAGTTTCATTCTTCCATTTATGAACTACACTGAGCTAAAATTCAAAATGCTCTGACTCACTTGGTGATTACTGAACAGTTCATTAAATGGAAAACACAGATAAATTCACAGAATCGCATTTTGGGAGTTATACAAGAATTTTAGAGTTACATACTTTCTAACAAAAAGAATATACGAGAAAAAAATTTTATTAGAAAAAACTCTAACATGCTATTTTTAAAATGAATTTAAAACTGCTAAACACTTGGTATCTTTTAAGAGCACTTAAGAATGGCACTCTTCAAAAGCTACAAATGTTGCCAAGTCATGTCTTAACTGGCTCAAACAATCCCATTTTCATCTAAAGTTATTTCATGCTACTGCATGAATCAATATTAAATACCCTGGAGTTACTAAAAACTGGAATACTGGCAGAGGTGCGCATAGCAATTATAAAATATGAAAATGGTGAATATCCATTTTCCATATACCTTTCTTTCAATAATGGCTAGAAATGAGGATGTTCTTTCTAGGTGAATAGAAACAGTTTCTTAAAAGCTGAGAGAGATAAAGAAAGCTAGCAAAATATGATGGATCCATAACCATGGTTATCGCAAAAGAAAGACAAAATACAATTTGAAGCCTATTATCACCTCCAAACACTGGCTTACCGAATTGCCAGAGCCATTAAAAAAAAAAAATCAATATACTTTTTTTTCTTTATTCAGTTAAAAAAAAAAACCTAGCTGTTACTTAATCTGGCTTGACTTTAAGCAAACATCTCAACACTCCCCATGTTAAATATATAACTTAATCACTTTTAAAGTTAGGAAATAACAGTAATCATTATTTTTTTAAAAGCTGAGTTCAAGTGACAGACATCTGGCCCTGAAAGTAAAGAGTTAACTTTCAACTAAGCTGATCTGCTCTTCTGATCCATTACATTTCTCATAAGCTGTCCTACAATGAGCTGAGAAAGTATCAACTGTAATTTGATCCCAGAGTTTATGGAAAAAAATAACTGCACATGCTCAACATGCACATTTAATAAAAACTATTTCAAGAAAAATATATCCAATAAACACAATTTAAGGCACATTTAACTGTTCGATCAACTTCAAATCTGCAAACTCTTTGCTTTCTTCAGGCTCTCAAATAGGAAAGAAAGAGAGAGAGAGAAAAAAAGGCAGCCCTACTGCAGGGAAAAGAGGCTTGAAAAACAACTTTGATTGGCACTTGGCCTGACCTACAGAGGAAGAAAAACAGTTTTTGGACAAAGAGCGCAAATATGAGCTTGGTTATTTACGTGTTTTCTTTCTATTTTTAATATACACAGAACAATCCCAACTGAACGGTATTTAGAGAAATTGACTAAGAACGGTGCGTATTCATTTCTGTCTTTCAGGCCCGGTGCATTTGCCCAGCTCAGCAATTTTAATTCATTTGTACTGGACAAGCAGCAGCGCCTCAACTAATGTTTCCATTTAGTGAACTGGAACGACAGAGTTTGGACAAAAATAAACCGATTATATTACCGAGTGGCGGCTGTTAATGTCTGATAAAGCTTTTATCGGTCTTAAGAGAAATCTTTTCATTCCCCCCACCACCCCACTCAGCGGAGCGATGAAGCCAAGCAAACGGAACAATACCGGGGCAACTTCCATCAGCCTCTGGAAAGCAGTCGGCGGCCCGCGCGCTGATTCCTGCGGACTAACAGGAGCCGGCGTGGAGTGCCAAGAGGCAATGACCGGGTCGGCCCTCCACCCCGACCCCTGCGGAGCCGCGGGGTAAGACGGCATCGCGTGGGCATGAAGTTGGAGCCGCCTCTCCAGTTCCTTTCCAGCCCGGACTGCAGGCACAGGCCGGCCGCCGGAGGAGCGCAGCGCGGGGCAGCCCCGGAGCCTCCGCTCCCACGCCGGCCGCCACCAGCAACCCGCGGAGGACCGGGCCGGCGCCCCCTCCCAACCGGGCCCACGGCCCACGCCCCCTGCAGGGCCTCGGCGGGGAAGGCGCCCGCGCGCCCGGAGCTCGCCTGCGGAGCGCAGCTCCCAGGCGGACCCCGAGCCCATCCCGTACCTTCCGCAGCACTTTCCGGCAGTTGGTGCAAAGCAGGTAGTTGGCGGCGGCCGACGGGCCGCTGCTGCCACGGTTCATCGCGGCCTCGGGGCCGAGCCGTCCTCCTGCCGCCGGCCGCGCTTCAGCCTCAGCCTCCTCCGGGCGGGATGCCGAGATGCGCGAGTGCGGCGCTGCCCGAGGCGACCGCCGCAGCGGCTGCCGACGCGCCGGCGGAGACGGCGGCAGCTTCTTCTTACCGGCCCGTCGTTCCGCCCGCCCCCATCCTCACACCCCCCCCCCCCCCCCCCGTTCCGCCCGCCCCCATCC